TTCATAGCTTTTCTCTTGGTTGCACTGCTTCCAGCAGTGTATGTTTATATTAGAGCTTTTATCCAATCATATTTCAGCAATCGTGTTGCCAGGGTCAAAGAAATCTGCCTTAAGGCCTTCAGAATCAACAGTGCAGGCGCATACTAGCTAGCAAACAGCATCACTGTAAATCATTTTATTAAAACTTAGTAAAACTTTTATTACTGTTTCTCAGGTTTAGATTTTCAGTGCATTTTGAAAAAATATGTGCCTACTATATTTAGTCAATCTAAAAACAGTATTCCTAATGACTGCAAAAAACAAGCACACACCTCCTCGGCACCGGCTCTGTGAAAGACTCGTGAAGATGAAAAACCACTAGAGTATGGTAGCTTAATTTTCATTTTTGACTCTTTTATCGCTTGATGCGTTGCATGCTGCTGTTATTAGCGCGATATAAAGCCAGGTTTAAGTTTCCGTAAGAATATCTGAGTTTCCCGAGTGGAGCTGTATTAACCGGTCTTTTCCTCCGAGGCAGACCAGCGGGGAGATGAGAGTCACAGAGGTACGTTAAAACACATCTATACACTTTTCTTCATCGTCTTGTATGAATTATTTTAATGTTACTTGCTCACTTTCCTAGTAAAGCTGTGCTAACCAGTATTTTCCTCCCGCAGTGCGCTGGCAGACCGGCGGGGAGATATTAAGAGAACATTAAATTGTTAGATCAACTTTAAGACACATGTAATCACCTTATTTGTTTTATAACAATGCCATCTGTAAGGTATAAATACGTTTGGGTGAATAAATGTCTGTAAGAACATCGGATGGACTGTATTTGTGTCATTCTGTTAGGTTAATGCTTCAGCTACAGATGATGTGTTGCGCAATTGTTAATTGGGTTTCTTTCTTTAGTAATGGCATTCATTCTCGCTACATAAGATACCTGTCTGTTATGTAGTGCCCTGTTATACTGCGTTACTGTGTAATATTTATGGTTTCTATAGCCGTGACATCATTATGATGGTATGAAGAGATGGATTAATTCATGTAGGATGCCACTGAAGGCCTAGGTGTAAAATGCACGGCCCGCCACTGAGTTTTAATGCAGCTTCAAAGAGCTCTACACGATCCCAGCCGATGGGAATAAGGGTCTTATCTAGCGAAACCATCGTCTATTTTTATAAATAAAATAAAAATGATATACTTTTTAAACACAGATGCTCATCTTTCACTAACTCTGCTTGTGCATGTGCATCTTCACACATTACGTAATCACATTGGAAACATCACGTGTGGTTTGCTCTTCATCTTTGTGCGTCAGTTCAAATAGGAAGCGTAGGGTGAAAACTCCATCTGTTTTTCTCCTCCAACTTCAAAATCGTCCAACATCGTTGTTTTAATTTTTTTTTTGTAAAGGGCATTTGACTTTCTTTGCACGTTCGCTTTGTAAACACTGGGTCGGTACTTCCACCAACATCACGTGCATTATGCGTGAGGTCGAGCTAGTACAAGACGAGCATTTGTCTTTAAAAAGTATATGTTTTTTTTTTTTTAGAAAATGACCGATGGTTTCGCTAGATAAGACCCTTATTCATCGGCTGGGATCGTGTAGAGCTCTTTGAAGCTGCATTAAAACTTTTGAACCTTCAATCCGTTGGACACCATTGAAGTCCACTATATGGAGAAAAATCCTGGAACAACTTTAATAATTTTTCGACTGAAGAAAGAAAGACATGAACATCTTGGATGACATGGGGGTGTGTAAATTAACAGGAATTTTTTATTCTGGAAGTGAACTACTCCTGTAATACATTTGGCTGTACCTGTCGGGGGTGATCCGTGTAACAGGGCTGACTGTAGATGTGTTTGAGCGGCCGTAGGATCTCTGTGCCGCCCATATCTGCGTTCATGCTCTTTACTCTCCTTAGAGCCTCTTCCATCGCGTCCTCACTGTACACGACACTCTGACTGCAACGACACACACCACAGTCTCTCACAAAACCACAGCTAAATGAGATCATTCCTGAAGAACATTAAACATCCAGTTACTGACGGGAAGAAGGACTCAAAACGAGAGCCGAATCCGTAGATGTTGAAGTAGCATCCCATGGGCAAACTCTTCAGCAGCAGCAGCAGCGTGTCCTGGAGAGACACGTGTGCAGATGAGTTCAGTGACTCAATAAAACTCAATAAATGTGTCATTATAGATCCTACATCTTACTCTTGCACTTTCGATGCGCTTCTGTGCGTCTTTCCCATGATGCATCTCGCAGCCCATACTGCCGGATCTGTCGACCACAAAAATGAACTCGCCCTGAGACGCCAGTGATGACATCACATCCGCAGGAAACTCTGGGTACAAACTGATCATGAGCGCCGGGTCGCCCATCAGAGACCCTGAAACAGAGACAGGGTAAACAGGTGTAAATGGCCTGAATTCAGTGTGAACCGTGTTACGCTGTACAAACCACCTTAACAACTAACCAAGCCCTGCATCCTGACTCACGTATGATCCACCCTAAACATCAGAGCTCAGAGCCGTTCTGTGCACATTATATAATTACTAATATTACCCACAAACCCTTGAGCTGCAGACGAGAATATGAAATTCTAACAATGTCAGATATTTTACACTGCAGTCGTGAGTGTAAAGCTCCTATGAGCAGTCAATGACTTAAGGGGTCAGCTCACCCTAAAATGAACATTAAGTCACATATTAGCAGTGTATTTACAGCATACTGACTTCATGTACAAACAAAAACCGTCTACCTGACTGAGCTGCAGCCGCTCCAGCCTCCACCACAGCAGTGGGCTGATGGGTGTTCTCATAGTACAGAAGCAGCTCCACATCCTTATCAAACCGGTGACCAGCGCTCAGATTCACCTACACACACATTACAGGCTTCTGGTGATGTTAAGTGCGTGAAAACTGTACACACACTCACACTTATATACACACTGTACCGTGGCATGAGTGTGCTGCGCGTCGAGGAACTCCAGAGGATCCAGAGGGCAGCTGGACTCCAGTCTGGAGATGCGGTCTGAAGATCTCACTTCAACACTCAGAGACAGAGTGTAAGGAACAACTGATGCTGAGGAAACTTCTGGAACACCGGCTGCTGAAGCTGAGATAATCACACAGACAAACAGAGATACTATATAACACCAGTCAACGTAGAGCCCAACAGCTGAACCAGAAATGTTTCTTGAGCAGCAAATCAGCATCTTAGAATGATTTCTGAAGATCTTCTAATTTCTTGATCACAGCAATAAATTACAGTTTAACAGATATTCACATTGAAAACAGCTGTTTTAAATTATAATAATATTTCAGAATTTTTACTGTATTTTTGATCAATTAAATGCAGCCTTGGGGAGCAGCAGACACTTCTTTCAAAAGCTTCTGACAGTAGTTTAATTGACTGGGGAAGTAAGAGTAGGACTACATCATTCACAATGCTTTCTGGAAAGAATATTTTCATCAAAAGATGTCTTGAACCTTTGTTTTGATTTTGTTTTCATAACATAACTATTATAAATGGATATAATGAATTATAAATGGAATAACTCTTGTGAAGATGTGGACAGTTACTGTTCTGGCCTATATATGATTTAGTGATGCAACCATACAATTTTTTCAAAATTCTGAGTATCGGCCGATACCGATACGATGCGATAGGCTACCAGCGCAGTTTTTTTTTTTTTATCAATGTAGAATTTCTATACTTCTGTGTGTTGACCTGATCATCACTATTTTGTGTGTTACAATTTAGTAAACATAGACAATTTATTTTTTATAAAAAAAAAATTAAAAAAATTATAATCATAATCTATGACAAAAATACTATTATAAACTAGGCTAGTGGATAATTCAGCAGCAAAAGTTATTCTACAAAAATCACGAGTGAACAATAATTTTACAACATTTAAATATTTACAGTAGTGAAATAACATTATTTAGTGGGGAACAAATATAAGTGAATAAGTGTAGAACTAAATCTGGTAAAATGTTACACATTGCTTTTTGCATTGTTGTAAAATACATTGATGAAAAACAAGTAGATATTTATATACAAATATACTATAAAATTCAAATCCATTTCTTTTAATTGTAAAGCTGTCACGTTACACTGCCGGAAGGAACGATGGAGACATAAGTAAGTGAAACAGTCTTTAATAAATCCACAATATTGGGTAAATCCACACCCGGAAGGAAGAATGGGCTCCGAAGAAGGGGGAGGAGAGGGGGCAGGTCAGCGTACCAGTCAATGAGGTCCTCCTCCGCTTTCCATTCACCCAGATCCGTACTCAGCTCACCCTCAGCCACGGCTCTCCACGCTCTCACTGTCCACGGCAATTTCCCTTGTGGCTAGCCGGCTCTCGCACCTGGTCTGACGTATTCAGCAGCTCCGGCTCCGCGGCGATCCTCAGCTCTGTCGCTCCGTGCGGCGATGGCTTGTCGGTCGTGGCGGGCTCGGG